TTATCAAAATGTCATTCATTTTTCTTTAAATAGTGCAAACAACTTCCTTTGAATTTGTCGCAACAACCCATACCACGTAACAATAAAAACTAATACTCTTCAACATTATGTCAAAAACAGCACTCTTTACCCCAAATCGCATTCGCGGGGGAGTATTCGTTTTTCAATTTCGTGCACGTACTCTACCCACCTATTTTGAGGGTTAAAAAAGGTTAGCGATGAATTATTAAAGCACCCACGTTTCTATTTGGAAGTCTTTAATAAATAACTAGTTAAAATGATAAGGGTGCTGCTGTCTGGAAGGATTAAAATAGGATCGTTTGTATAATTCTCGGAGGGTTTGAAGAAAAATACTATACCGACTGTAATTTATAGATTTTCTTATTTATGGGATGGAGTGTTTATGGAGCGGATGCAATTTATTTGAGAGAGTGATCTTTAGCGGGATATTTCGCGGAAAAATATAGGAATCTTTGGTATAAAATCGGAAAGGAAACAACGTGCCAAGATTTTTTATGAATATATAAATGTGAATCATCACTCAGTTAATCGTCTTTTGCCGGACATAAACCTCAATTGCTGATAATGTTATTTATCTGGACTGATTTTAACTAATTTATTGCTATTTTTGCTTTGATTGTTTTTCTGATTCTGTTTAGTTTCAATATTTCTGGACCTGCGTATTAAAAGGGCCAAACACCATTTTCGTTGTTTTGAGTAATAAGCAGTTTAAGTTTCAGGAAAAGTAAAATGTCAATTTTAAATTTAGGTAAAATAGATTTTTTATTACTAATATCGAAATTTAGAGTAATATAAAAGTAGTATTTTTTATTACTAAATATTGTGTTGTCAAAAAATTTACTACTTCGAAGATGTGTTCATTAATAGTTATGTTCTGTGCGCCTCTTGGTCGAGGATTTTTGGTTACTAGCACGTCTTTCGTCTTTTCTTCATTTATTCGTATACCCAACTGCCTGTTTCCTCCTCAAGTTGTGAAAACATCTCTACCACGTCTCTTGTAGAATGAACGACTGCATCTAGATCATCATCAAAGGCCAACAATAGTTTTGATCTTCGATTCGCAACTATTTTCAAATACATTAAAACGTAACAATTGATAGTTTAGAATATTTTTTAATATAATAGTTACGTTATTAAGTGTTCAAAATGTGCCCTATTTGTGAGTTTACAGCACCCTAATCGATGGTAGAATGCGCCTACCACATTTCTCCATGATTGTCTAGAAATTATTCGAGATTCATCGATAATTCATTGCCTTAGCTATGCAAGACTTGCTGGTTAAGTTTTGTAAACTGAATTTTTCAAGTATCTCTAATAAAAATAATCTTTAGGATTGAGATCGGGTGAACGTGGAGGCCATTCAATTCTACCTTGTCTACCAATTTATCGTACGGAAAATATCTCATTTAAATAACGCCGAACATTTACACCAACTATCTGACGTACTATATCTGATCATACATTTAATTTTTGTGGTCTTTGAGTATGGTTTTCATGCATTCAGTGTGAATTTCACACGAGTTCAGCTATTCAATACGAGTTCAACCATATGTTCACTTGATTTTATGTAGTCTGAAAGATCTTAAATACATAAAACAGTGCAAAATATGTAGATTTTAATAAATTTAAATATTTAAATGGAGAATGCTGTGGTTTTGACATTTGTTCACCATTTAAATTATGAACTAAAATTGACAGTAGTTGTGGTTCAAAAAGTTCTGTAATTTAAATTGCTTCTCTAAAATGCCGTTCTCTAAACCATTCTCCTATTCATAAGACGATTTGAGGAATCTGGAGAAGTAAAAGATAGATACCGATCAGGTTGACCGAAACGAGTTGTCAATGACAACAAAACTTCAGATATAAGCAAAGTTTTGTTGAAGATCCACATACATCCCCAGGCAGGGTTGCACAAGTACATGATGTAGGTCATTCTTCAGTCTTACGTTTATTACGTAAAAATAAATTTAAATCATACAAAATTAACTTATTGCAAGAATTAAGTGAAGATGACTTTGCTCGTAGATTAGAGTTTACTGAGGTAATGATGGATAAAATTGAAAATTATTAAAATTTCGTTAACAGAATGTTTTTCCGATGAAGCAACTTGCACACTGTGTGGAAGTGTAAATCGACACAATTTAAGGTACTGGTGTGACGTAAATTCACACTGAAGACTGAATGCGTGAAAACCATACTGAAAGACCACAAAAATTAAATGTATGGTCAGATATAGTAGTTACTTATTCAATTGGGTCATTTTTTGTCGAAAGAAATTTAACGTCAGATAGTTGGTGTAAATGTTCGGCGATATTTAGATGAAATATTTCCTGGACGATAAATTGGTAGATAAGGTAGAATTGAATGGCCTCCACGTTCACCCGATTTCAATCCTAAAAATTATTTTTATTAATGATACTTGAAAAATTCAGTTTACAAAACTTAACCAGCAAGTCTTGCAGAGCTAAGGCAACGAATTATCAATGAATCTCGAATAATTTCTAGACAATCATGGAGAAATGTGGTAGACGCCTTCTACCATCGATTAGGGTGCTGTCAACTCACAAATTGAGCACATTTTGAACACTTAATAACGTAACTACTATGTTAAAAAATGTTCTAAACTATCAATTGTTACGTTTTAATGTATTTGAAAATAGTTAGTATTAAAAAATTTATTGAAACAATTTAGACGTTGCCAGACTTCGGTTTTCTATATTTATGACCTTCCAGATTACATAAAATCATAAGTGTTACATATGGTTATCAACTGTATAAGGAAACACCCCTGTCAGACTTCATTAGAATACAAAGATTGCAATGGACCGGACATGTGATACGAATGGGAGAGGATAGGCTACCAAAACGAGCACTGAACGCCAGAATGCAGGGAAAGAGACCAGTTGGAAAGCCAAGAAAGCGCTGGGAAGACACAGTAAGCAGCGACGCACAAGCACTTTTAGGAGTCCGTGTATGGAGAAGAGCAGCCACAGACAGACAAGGGTGGAGGCAAAAAATAAAGGAGGCCAAGGCTCATTTTGGGCTGTAGTGCCGTAGAAGAAGAAGAAGTTACACATGATTGAACTCGTATTGAATAGGAGATTCCAATAATGACTGAATATACAGGGTGTTGTATTTGAAAAACCAAAGTTACTAATAATATAAAAAAAACGGCAAATCTGGCAACATTGTAAATATCAAATATGGAATCTCCGTATCCCAAAATAGGTGTACCTCAAATTTTGTACAATTATGATTAGCATTTTACGAGATAATTAGCCGTTTCCAGAATTTTGGGCCACTCTGTATTTTACTTATTGCATATTCTAAAGGAAAATTGACTAGCAATGGTGATAAGGGATCTCCTTGTCCAAGTCCTACTACTACTATCGGTTTACAGCGTTCTCCGACGCCTTCCGACTCCTAACCGACATTTTTCTCTATTTAACCATAGGTCTGGAGGATTTCTCTTTCCTCTAGTTCTTTTTCAATTCCCTCTCTCCAGATTCTTCTCGGCCTTCCTCTTTTCCTTCTCCCTTGTGGTGTCAACGTCAAAATCTGTTTCGGAATCCTGTCATCTGACATTCTCTGTACATGGCCGTACCATATTAACTGTTTTGTTTTTATGTCATCAACTCTTGTATGATTGACTCCCATCATTTCTCGTATTCTCTCATTTGGTATCCGATCTCTTCTTGATTTGCCTGCTGCTCTTCTCCAGAAGTCCATTTCTGTTGCTAGTAACAGTTTCTCTGTTCTTTGTTTCATTGGCCAAACTTCACTGCCATATGTGATTACACTTTTAAGTATGGTGTTGTATATGAGTTGTTTGTTCGCTTTAGATCTTGTTTGGTCCCATAGAATGCCGTTCATCATGGATATGGCTTTTCTACCCTGTATGTTTCTGTCTTTTATACCATCATCGAGTGTTCCATCTTGAGTTATCTTCATACCCAGGTCTAAGTCCTGATGTACTAAATGGCATCGATGTTCTGTTTCCTATCGTTACCTGTGCATATCAGTCTGTCACGCATATTTTAGTTAGATCCACTAATTTTCTAGCATTGCTAGCCATAGTCTGCTTCTTTTTATCGAATCATTTGCTTGCTGGAAATCTACCAAAATTTGGTTTAGATCTCGGTTAAATTCCCAGTTTCTAATATTTGTAGGATCGTAAATATTTGATCTATTGTTGACCATCCAGAATAAAAGCCGCATTGGTAGTCGTCAGGAATATCTTCCGAATACGGAGTTATACTCTTTAGCAAGATAATTGATAGAACTCTCTATGCCTCTATAGTTTCGGAATTGTTCTTTATCCCCCTTCTTAGGTATGTGTATTCTAACGCTTCCATTCCATTTCTTAGACATTTTCTGTTGTTGCTATAGTCTCAGAATAATGTCATAAAATTTTTTATGTACAACGATTCCTCCTTTTTTTTATCAATTCTCCATTTATACCATCATGTCCTAGCGCTTTGTGATCTTTAAGACAGGTTATCGCATTCTTTACATTTTGAAGTGTTGGTGCTGGTATTTCCACATCTGAAAAATGTAATGTAACATCTCCTTCCCCCATCTCACTTTCAATATTTAATAAATTCCGAAAATATTTCGAAATTTTTAAAGAGTCCTCTTTTTTCCAATGGTTTTCTTCACTGCTTGTTCTATAACTGATGCCTTTCGCTGCCATCCTTGTCCTGAGTCTACATTATGTTTCTCTACGAGCAATTGGAATCTGTTGTTTATGGTTACTTGATAATCCAGTTCTTTATTTGGCTTTTGAAGAGCTTCAATGTCCTATCTTTCTCTTTGTTCTTGTTGCTTCAGGTTCTGTACTGATATTCGGGTTCTCAGATTTTTCCAGAAAGTGATCACTATCGCAGTCCGCTCTTCTCATACTTCGCGAATTAATAATGCTATTTTAGTAATGCTGAAAATAAATAAAAATAGTTATTAATTAAAATTTTCTATTCCAGAGAAGCACTTTCTAAAGGATTAGTTCCTGGTAGGAAAACTAGACCAATTTTAACACAATCAAACGCAGTGAGAAAAGATTCAGGTGCCCAAACGGATATATCAGCTCTTCCAGGCTCTAGTTGGAGATCGGAAAGTAGCTTAGCTAATAAAGTAAGGAATCAAATAATTATTTAAATAGACCAATTTTTTAATTAAAGTATTGTAATCTTTCAACGAATTCAAAAGGATGTAAATCCGTTAGCTATAGTCCCTAAGGATTGTAAAGCTTAATGAAAGAATGAATGACTATCAAAATGCCCGTGCCCATCTATACCAATAGATTTGTAATATGGCATGCAGTTTGTCCAAATTAATTCAATAGCGTTGAAGTCGCAGTGATAAGCAGGTAGTCTCAACACTTCATGGCTGTGTTCTCTTAATAGCTAATCAATTATATATACATTCTCTTTTCTGTTCATTTTTTCAATTTGTAATAATTCACGTTTTGTGAGTTTTGCGTCATACTTGATCTTATTTTTTGTCAACCAGGTAATAATTTTCATTTTAGATTGGACTGTGGAAGGTTGTTTTTCTAAAAAAACTGTGACGTGGAGCATTATCCATCACAATGAATGATGGCTCTTCTACATTGGGAATTGATTGTTCATTTATCCATTAAGTGAAAATTGCCTTGTTCAATTCTCCATGATTATCAGCTATTTCACATTTTGAGCAAAATAATAACTTACTTCCTCATCTGTATGGCGTTGACCGCTTCTACGGTTCTTCCGACTTTGAAGCCAGTTTCCCAGCTCCAGGACAAAGGGATGCCCTACCATTTACTAGCTCCTCTACTGCCAACTGTTGGCCACGGAGTAAACGGAAGATGGATTATACCGGCAATCGCTTGGTGGAATTTTCACCATATCTGGCTACCCTCACTTGGTTTAGTCTGCAGATCAACGCAGTTGTCCGGGGTGTGGCCATCGAGCAAAAAGACAAAAGAGGGAATCTAATCATTATGAAAAGGAGACCAAAAAGTGGCCTCTGATGGCGGACATATCCGGAAATGCGAATGCGCCAAATTTAAACGTTTCGACACTTATTAACAGTAGCTATAAAATAGTTTGTAGAATGTGTCTTAGACGAGAAACTTTAAATAAATATTAACGATAACAGTCTAAAATGTGACATAATTGTTAATAAACTTCCATATAAATAAGATTTCATGTGACATTTGGGACAAACAATATACATAAGCCAACTAAATTTGATTTCTTAAACAAGGAAAGACTCTCTTTCCTTGTTTAATGTGGCCTCTCAAGATGACACTTCCTCTCTAACAATATTTTTGCCCCCACTACCTTTACCTCTTTTGTATTTTTGCTTGATGGGTGTGGCACGTGGAACCATAAGTGAGAGTTGATTGGCTTATGAGGACCAGTTATCAAGAACCATTTCCCGTCTATGACGCTCGATGTGGTCGTTCCGATAAAAGGTGCTACCTCTTATAACAGAACTCTACACCCCAATTATGTACTACAACATAATTTATATCTAGTATTGATTAAAAAGTGCCTTCTGGTTTACTATCAAATTCAAATTGAAGAAATTAGTATTTACTTTGTTGGTACATATCCTATACTGTATTCTACACTGCCATTTTATACCTCAGATAGATCAGTTGTCTTGTTTTCGGACGAGGTCTACTTTTGTCTGGCTTTGAAAGACTATGATTATTTTCTTTCCTTTTTATAATTGTACATCCATCGTGATATTTTTAATGCAGCAGCTTCTCTCTTACAGAAAGAATTGTTTAATGATATGTATTTTGATAAACTATTGATAACATTTATTTGTTACCTATTGAAATTCAAAATACTCCCAACACATTTAAAACAATATGTTTGGATTGAGAATTTAAAGGTTTACCAGGCATACTTTAAAAATAAAAATCCTTAATAAATATTTCATATCACTCAGTTGACGTGGTTTTAGACATATTTATATGAGTAAAGGATAAAATAAATATATTATTCGTCATTAGCTAATAAATCGTAAGAAAAATAGAAGAAAATCTTAATTATTTGATGGTAGAATAGAATAGAATAAAAATATCCTTTATTATCACTGAAAATTATTGAACAATTTTATGGACAAAGCTAAAAAATAAATCAGTCAAATAGTACAAAAAGTATAAAACAAAAACAAATATAGTAAAAAACAGAATAACACAATTTTAAATTAGTAAAATTATTGTATAACCTACATAATTTGTACAGACAACAACAAATGAGACAAATTGTAGCCACTGCTTGAGACACCCAAATGTAATTATAAACAATACTAATTTTGTTTCTTTGTTATACATTAAGAAACTCGTCAACTGAATAATATGGTCTTTCTGAGAGATAGATTTTTGTCACCTTACGAAACTTAATGAATTATGTTGCGGATTTAATTTCTCTTGGAAGGTGATTATAAAGTTTCTTTGCACGATATAGAATAGAATTCATTACTAGCTGAGTGGACGGGATCGGCAAATAAACGTTACAATCCGAATTTCTAATGAAGTAGCCATGGTCAGGTCTATCGGGAAAAATGTCTAGATGCTTTCGAATCAAACCAACCGTTTCCAAAATAAATAAAGAGGGAAGCGTCAAAATTCCGTGATTTTTGAAGTAGGTCTTGCAATGAGTTGTTTGTTTGAGACCAAATAGATAACGGATTGCTCTTTTTTGCAACTTAAAAATAGTATCAAATTGGGCCGCTGTACTAGAACCCCAAAATGGAAGCCCATATCGAAGATGGGACTCGAACAATGAGAAATATGCCATTTTGGCAGAAGATAAATTTAGTTCCTTCGAAACAGATCTTATTGTAAAGCAAGCTGAGGCTAGTTTCTTCCTTAAGGAGTCAGTATGCAAGGACCATTTGAGATCACTGTCAATGACAATACCTAGAAATTTCACGGAATTTACGATATTGATTTGGCTCTCATTCAAAAGCAAGGGTTGCATGACTCCTTTATAAGATAATGCTACAGTCTTATCCACGTTAAAGCTAAGTAAGTTGGAGTCTGGTCAGATAGCTCAGTGGGCTGTGCGGCTGCCTCTCATTCGCTTCACTGTCGAATGGTTCAGTGGATGTGGGATCGAGCCCCAGCTCGATGTACAGAAAACAAAAAGTCTAACGCAGCAGTTTAAAATTCTAGATGAATCTGCGGCTTAGACTAGAATATGCTGGGATCTGATCGGCCTATGGTGGAGCAGTACGGCAAGAGATAAGGGCTTGCGGCTCGGTGATATTCCTCCATAGATCCCTACCGGACGGGCGTAACGCCTAAAAAACCGGATATATATATATATATATATATATATATATATATATATATATATATATAAGTTGGAGTCTGACCAAGCCTTGATTATAAGTAAATCAGCGGTTATAATTGAATGAAGCGTTGAAATATCAGATCTGCTCCAAGTAATACTGGTATCATCAGCAAATAGAAAAATTTTCCCTTTAATTTTCAAGTAAGTGATGTAATTAATGAAAAGTAAAAAAAGAATGGGACCTAATACTGAACCTTGCGGTACTCCACACTCAATATCTTTACAACTAGAGTCGGTGTCATTTATTCTAACCAATTGTTTCCTACCTACCAAGTAAGTTTTGAACCAGTTTAAAGACACACCCCGAATTCCATAGAAAGTTAATTTTTTTAATAGAATGTCGTGATTTACGCAGTCAAAGGCTTTGGAATAGTCGCAGAAAACGGTGGCGGAGGAGAGGTTACTGTTTAGTGATAGATATACATCATGTAACACAATAATGGGTGAAATGGGGCGTTTCCTGGATTTTGTAAAATAAAACAGAAAGAAAACACTAAAAAAAATCCATCATGTAGTGAAATTAAATTTTCAAATCAAGTCTTAATACTTTCGTACAATTTCAAAAAGCTCGCCCCATTTATTTGTGTTAAGAATCGTTTACCAGAAACATATAATATTTGCCCTTACACATTTTTTTTTTCAATTTACAAATATCTAATTTCCGACGGATTTTATATAAATTCAATATTGCGTGTCTGCTCGTATGTATACAAAATGGTAGAAAATGGAGAGAATGACTTGTCAAAAAATATAATAATATGCAAAATATGTTGTGTACAAGGATGTAACACGCTCATTCCGAATAAAGGAATGCCACATATTCGATTTTTATATCAATATCAACGAGACTAGAAAGTCTCTGCCGGAATTCCAAGTGGGTGTATTATTTAAATGAGTCCCGATTTCAACTTTGGGTTCGGAAACTTGCCTGCGTGGTAACGATAATACCAGCAATTACGAGAGTTGTGAAATCCTTATTTAGGAGTATGGTTTATTTGGATTTATGAAAATGTGTAAAACATGCATCTAAGAATGTGCATTTCCAAAATGTTTTGTAATAAACGTTGTGTGTGTTTTAATATGCAAGCTAAATTGGTTATATAATCTGAAAGAGTAAACGAGGGCAATGTGAAAATGTTTCGACATAATAGTCAACAAAGCTAATAAGAGAAAATCATTAAGAGAAATTAACGTTAGAAATGCAATTAAACCTTGTCCTAAATGGAAATCAAGTTGATCCACCGACATTACAAGATACTAACGAGGTAATCCAGAAACTAAACAACTATAAAGCACCAGGAAATGATTAAATCCCCGCAAAAATCAACAAACATAAAAGAGAACAAACACTTCTTATGAAAAGAAGACCAAGTGATTGAGGAATGGAATATCTATTAGCTGTGTCAATTCACAAAAAGCCGTTCAACTATAATGTGACAATTACAACGGGATAACCCTTTTGAATACAATATATAAAATATTCCCCACATGTCAGAAACCAGAGATGGATAGAGCCATCAAAGAAGACGAATGGATGGACAGAGAACGATGGTGGTCGAAATGCGAGAAGTGGCAGAAGCTGTAGGAACCTCGCTTATACATATGTCAGAAACCATCTTCTTCTTGCCATGGCAGTCTTTGACTTTTCACAAATCTTACAATGTCATACCCTTCATTCAGTTCATTAATCTCGTCGTTTCTCCTGATTCTCCATGTGCCGCCTTCCTCTTGCATACATTACTTCGGGTCTAATCAAAGTTCTGATAGTCATTTTGGTTCTTTTGTCTAATAATTTCGATGTTATCAATCTTTTATATATAGATTATATTCTGATTAATAAAAGAGTCCGGAACAGCATAACATCAGTCAAGACACGCCCAGGAGCTGATATCAAATCAGACCATAACCCACTGATTGGCAAAATTAGGCTCAGGCTAAAGAAGGTTAGACGTAGTGTCAATCCAAAATTCGACATCAAGCTATTAAAAGACCAACACACAGAACATAGTGTAAAGTGGAATATATACAGAACAATTTGAGTACCGTTATTCAATCGGATGTAATGGATCAGGAGCTAGAAAAGGTACATACAGTTTCAAAAGACATACGAGAGAAATTTCTCAAACCACCAGAGAAATCGTGGATGACAAATGAGACTCTAGATATTATGCAAGAGAGGCGAAAGTTCAAAGATCAATAGATCAAGATCAATGTCATTATACAAAAGAATCGATAAAAAGATCAAAAAAGCTATTAGAATAGCTATGGATACACATCTAAGAAAACAGTGTGCGGAAATACAGCAATTGCAACATAAACACGACTCATTTAATATGCACAAAAAAATTAAAGAAGCCGCAGGCTTATACAAACCTAGAAGAGTTGGGTGTTTGGTAGATAACCAAGGCAAACCACTGTTAACTGTGGAAGAAAAACTAGACACTTGGAAGAATTATGTGGAAGTACTTTTGCAAATGAAAGGCAGAATACCATTGAAGACACTGAATACCAAACAGGACCTCCGATTACCATTGAAGAAGTCACGTCAGCTATTACAAAAACTATAAGATGGTAAAGCGGTAGGGCCTGACGAGTTTTGTGCAGAATTCCTAAAACTTATGGATGAACAGGGAATAAAATGGATAACAACTGCATTCAACAACATAGTTAGGTTAAAGTCGATCTTCGTGACCATACTAAAAAAAGTAAATGCCAAGACATGCGAAGACTACAGAACAATTAGCCTAATGAGCCACTTACTTAAAACGTTCTAGAAAGTAATACACGACAGAATATATAAAAAATGCGAAGAACAAGTATCATGGACGCAGTTTGGATTCCGCGATTCCTTAGACACCCGAGAAGCTCTATTCGCTGTCCAAGTGCTTATGCAAAGATGCTGGGATGTTAACTGCGATGTGTATCGACTACAAAAAGGCATTTGATAGAGTAAAACATGATAAACTTATAAACATCTTGAAAGAAGTGGGGTTAGATGATAGGGACTTGAGAATCGTCTATAATTTATACTACAACCAAACAGCCAATATTAAAGTGGATGATCAATTGACAGAAACAGTCTCCGTAGATAGAGGAGTGAGGCAAGGATGCATTCTGTCCCGGGTGTTATTTAATATATACTCTGAATATATCTTCGAGCAAGCGCTGGGAGAACTACAAGAAGGCGTATTAGTCAACGGCATGCGTCTAAACAACATTAGATATGCCGACTACGCAATAGTTTTTGCAGATAGTCTGGACAATTTGCAAAGAATAATGTCGCGTATATCACATATAAGTAGAGAACACGGACTTGATCTTAATACGAAGAAAACAAAGTACATGGTAGTCAGTAAGCGCGAAATATTAAATACACAGCTTTTGGTTAACCAACATCCAATTGACAGAGTGGACACCTACACATACCTTGGTACCAACATTAACAGCCAATGGGATCACTCCAGTGAAATAAAACAACGCATAGGAAAAGCGAGATCAGCGTTCATAATGATGAAGTCTCTTTTCAGAAGTCACGATTTACCACTTGCTACCAAAATCTCTCTCATTAGATGCTATGTATTTTCTACGTTATTATACGGAGTAGAGGCCTGGACACTTTCCGAAGTTTCTTTAAGAAAACTCGAGGCATTCGAGATGTGGTGTTACAGACGCATTTTAAGAATTTCATGGGTGGATCTTGTGACTAATGTTGAAGTCCTACGTAGAATAGGCAAGGAATGCGAGATTATTAACATCAAAGAGCGCAAACTAAAATATCTTGGCCATGTTATGAGGAATGAACAGAGATACGGCTTGTTGCATCTCATTCTTCAGGGCAAGGTATTTGGAAAGAGAGTACCAGGGAGAAGAAGAATATCTTGGCTTCAAAACCAAAGAAAGTGGTTTAATACATCGACAACCGGACTATTCAGAATAGCAGCAAGCAAAGTTAGGATAGCCATGTTGATCGCCAACATCCAGAACGGATTGGCACCGTAAGAAGAAGAATAATCTTTTATTAGCATAGTATGTACGATTCCACTGGAAATACGTGCATTAATTTCGATACTTACAGAATTCTTCTGATTTATTTCTGTGCCCAGATATGTGAAAGGATCCACACGTTTAATAGTATAATAGAGTAGTTGTCTATTATTATATTATTTTCATTCTCAGGTGTTCTTACAAGTTTATTAAAGTCAATAATTACAATATTACACTAATTTCTTATGGTCGTACAATAATTTATTTACACAGTTTAACACTAATTTATTTTACGCAATTTACCGATTCTACTACATTTCCGCATTACAATAATTCTCGATATAACTATATTTTCGGACTGACTTCTCTTTAAATAAAATGTCCCATATATACTAAATAACCGTTAGACTAGAATTCCGGAAATCCCCTTCGAACAGACTAGACTAGAAGGTCACTCGGACTGGTTTTTAGCTGAGGGGGACCCTCGATCGGAACGCTGGTGTATGATCTAGAAAATACTTGAATGGAATAGAATTAGTAGTAATATGTTTACAGTTTTATGAGTCATTATTTATCGTAACATTGTCCTCCTCTTAAAAGAAGGTGCCTCCTGGAACATTGTCGGGACTGGAACTGGAACGGTATGCTGGTATCGCAACTGGACCCTCTTTTACAACTTCCAGTTGTATAAAAATGACAAGGGACGGTTACAGAGTGGACTCTAGTTTGTGTCATCCGTAGTATGTGGCTCCACCAGTCTTTTGCATAAGATTCGTGCGTTTCTCTCTCACTAGGTTTTCTCTCACTACGACTCTACTATTGCTTGATAAGTTCCAACTAGGCGCAATATATCGCAGTGAAACAAAAACAAAGTATATAAACTTATTTCTGCAAGTTAGAAGTGTCTTTTAAAAATTATTACTGTTCTTTTTATTTAACCAAGTAAAATTATTCCCTTTTAGGCAAGACTAGGAGAAAATTTCACCACCCTACCTTCGAAACTACCACTGCCAGGATCTCGGTTACGATTATCGGAAAAAACAGTAGAGGCTCGTCGAGTTTTGCTCTCAGATATTGGGTTTACGAGCATGGTTCCTGAACTGTCACGATCTGCAGATCATCTTTTTCCGCCGAATATTAAACCTACTGGAGTGACACCTACATATGGTCAGTTTCTGAAAACTACTGATCTCTATTCACCTGGATATGCAGTAAGTCAAACTAAAACATTATCTCTTACCTCATTCAATAATTTATGCTTTATATACTGAAAAGCACGTAATCTACGTTTTAGTCTCAAAAATTTACATGGAGCGCCAACACAGCGACACCTAGCGAGGGAAGCCAAACTCAATCTCACTACGGCAGTATGTATCCTCTAACATCATTACCAGTTCCATCTAGACGATGTTCTGCTCCAGTTTCTCCATCTAGAAGAGGAGTCTTGAAGCACACTCCTTCCAGAGTCAGGTTCGCAAATGGATCGTTACCGGAGCTTCGAGGAGATTGGGGAACCGTCGATAGTGGGGATTCTACTGATAGTTTGGTCGAAGAGGCTGAGAATTATTTGAGAAGATCCATCGATTGTATTATTGGAAGAGATACGATGATTAGTTACAGGTATACATTTGATTAACAATAATATAGCATTTTATATTCATGTTTTATTTCTAGTGATACTCGGACCAAGACTGGCGTACGTCGAGCTTCGGCGCCAGAGCCATCTGGCGACAACGTTCCACCTCCCGGATGGTTGCCGTTTTTGCCGAGAGTTTCCAGAGATCTTAAACTGGACAATTGGGTTAAAGTAATTACGTCAGAAGGAAGGGTGAAGGGCGGAAGGGTGAGGTATATCGGACCAGTTGTTTCGCAAACTGAGCATTTCGTTGGGGTACAACTTAGTTGTCCCGACGGGTACTGCGATGGAACTTATAACAATAGAATGTATTTCCAATGGTAAGTTATTTTATATAGAATTTAACATAACAGTCTGAAAGTAGTTTTTAATTGAAAAAAAATTTAAAATATTTTCCATGAAATTAACAGGAGAATACATTTTGTTACAAACCTAATAAACTATAAAGTTTTACCTTTATTTCTTATCGTTCCTTGTGTTTTATGTTTAATAATTATTGTAACATGCTTATTTCTTCTTTTATAGTCTATATCGTTTTAATTGGACATTTAATGACATAATAAAAATATAAGAAAAACCATAACAAATTTAATATTATATACGGGAGAACCACTACTATGAAGAAAATAATTATAGAACCACTATTGACTATAATCGTAATTATTTCAAAGACGAGTTGTTTCTGCATTGACTGTACTAGTTTCTTTAATATACCTTCATACATACACAATATTTTTTACTCCATTTTCTCCATCTTCCGTCAATCTTACAAATTCTGATAGATATACGCCAATGGTTGGGATAATGTGACTGATTGTTTTACCTTCTCTGAAGTATGCACATACCTCTCCCTTAGCGGGAACAAGGAATTTTAAACAATTGCCTTTTTATAATATAATTCCTTATGTACCAGTATAGCTTACCCAGTGAATGCTCACTCAATATCTTCTACTTAAGGTGCCTTCTCCATAACTGAAGGTTGGCTATAACTACAGCAAATTGCTATCTATCTTGAGCTGTTCTTAGTATCGAATATGTGTCCAGGCCTGTCCAGTCTCTTAGATTCTTCAACCAAGAGCATTTTCTTCTTCCTGGACCTCTTCGTCCTTCCACTTTCCCTTCCATTATAAGTCGTAGGAAGTTGTATTTTTCTCCTCTGTAAATATGTCCTAGATAACTCAGTACCCATTCTTCTTAGCACCTCGTTGTTGGTCACGTGCTCTGTCCAAGAGATCTTCAGCATCCTTCGAAAAATCCACATCTCAAAGGCCTCATACGCCTCATACTTGTAATTCCGAGAGTCCATGTTTCCACTCCGTATAGCAATATGGAATAAATAAACGTTTTTACAAATTTCCACAAGGAATCTACTTCCTGTAGTTGACTGTATACCATATATTAAAAAATTTTAATCAAAAAACCTTTATAAAAGGTATATATTTAAAAACCCTAACTGGCTAATTAAACAAAACGTTTTCGGAATCCATATTTCATCATCAGTGTCCTAGAAAATATATAGCCACTTAATTAAAAAGAAGATGAGGTTGAAATTTTGACTAAGGTTAATGCAAAATGAACTAAATATGAACTTAGTTAACTTAGTTACCAGCTGGAGCCCATTTGAAGAGGTTTACTCTCCGGCCACTGGAACTCAAAATTGGGGAGTCTGTATTGGTTTCAAACGGCTAAAGTGAAAGTAGGATCTACATTGACCAATAATATTGAGATCAAGAAAGGGGACGACAGGGCTGTATCTTGTCTCCTATTCTCTTTAATATATACTCAGAAGAAGTATTTAAGACAGCGCTGGAGGAAAGCACAGAAGGCATAAAGATAAATGGAGAAATAATTAATAACATAAGTTATGCTGATGACACTGTGATTCTAGCAAGTAGCATGCAGGAACTGAGTTGCATAATGAATAAGATACAAAAAACAAATGCACAATACGGACTCGTGGCAAATTGAACACGTGGATTCGTACATCTACTTGGAAACAAGTCTTCCTCAATTTCTTGGGAACAATTTTCACCTCTAAAAGCCTGACCCTACCTCTCAAAATTCGACTTCTGAAATGGTATGTATTCTCGGTTTTGTTATATGGAATGGAGGCGTGAACAATGACCGCAACATTGATGAAAAATGTAGAGGCCTTCGAAATGTGAACTTACCGACGTATATTACGTATATCCTGGACTGAGCACGTGACCAAAAAAGAGGTACTACGCCGGATAGGTAAAGAGAGAGAGGTAGGAATAAGTATAAAGAAAAGAAAGTTGGAATACTTGGGTCACGTTATGAGACATAATAAATGTAGAGTACTACAGCTGATCGTTCAAGGGAAAATAGACAGCAGTAGGAGTCCAGGGAGGAGAAGACACTCGTGGCTCCAAAACTTGCGGCAATGGTTTGGATTGTCATCTGATGAACTATTCAGATCTGCCGTAAACAAAGTCAGAATAGCCATGTTGATTGCCAACGTTCGGAACGGACAAGGCACATGAAGAAGAAGAACAAAGAAATGAAATACGCGAATTCGATCGCACGCAGACTTATACTCGCTTTCACCTCAATCCAGCGGAAGCTCCAAACGCACTCGCAATCAAATATTCGGTTGTGCAGATCCACGTTGGTGGCAACGTTCACTTCACGATACCCATGGATCTGCTTTATTAAGGACAGAGTATAATCCTCGCGAAAATCTCTCTGTCCGGATTGGCTCGCAGATTCAATCACCAGCGAGCCAGGGAGCCTAGAGCGTTAGCCACCAGACTCTTTAATTCCGCCAGTCCTTCGCTTTAAATAGCCGCTCCGGATCCCACTTCGTCGTCTCGTCGTGGAAGTGGATGCGTGAATATCGACACTCCCACGGTTCGAACTGTTGAGCGATCGTTACAATACATTGTCGACAAATTCTTAAAGTCGGCAACTTTAGGTAATCTAGTCGGTAATTTTTCTTCAAACTATAGAGTTATGTAATAACTTTGAAATAATCGACTTGGATTGTAAAAACATTGCTACGTTTGAAATACAAATTTAGTTTTTAGAGTTATTAACTAATTGAAAAACACTTATTTGAATAAATGAAAATATCTTACTTAAATTCTGTTTTTTAGTGAACCATACCATGGAATCTTCGTTCCTTTCAAGAAAGTGATTATGGGATGGAGACCATAGTAAAGAATTTAGAAGATATTGTTTCTCTTGTTCTACAAATGTTTATTGTTGGTGTTAAGTGTGCCATATTTAGGTACAAAACATGCAAAAAATTTAGAAAAAAAATCGGTGATAGATACTTTCTAGTCAATACTGAATGGGTTATGGACTATACTTTTATAGTTTATTCGTCTTCCGGGTTTGGACCGTGTCATTTGTGAGTGACCCAAAAGTGGGTTCATCTCGACGTTTCGCTACAATTATATGTAGCTTCTTCAGGAGAAACAAAGAAAAAGAAAAAAGAAAACAAAAGAACAGGAAGATGGGTAGTTAGCAACGGTAACTCAGTTACTCAACGCAACCAGAGGCGAATACTAACTACCAAGATGGGCATTTGGTCACAGTAACTCAACTACTCAACGCAGCCAGAGGTGAAAACCAAATGCCAGGACAGGGATTCACGTCCAACAGCTCAGAACACTAACGCGTCGAGAGGCGGGGAGTGAATCCGACGATTACTAAGCGGATTCACTCCCCGCCTCTAGTAGCGGAGTAATCGTCGGATTCACTCCCCGCCTCTCGACGCGTTAGTGTTCTGAGCTGTTGGACGTGAATCCCTGTCCTGGCATTTGGTTTTCACCTCTGGCTGCGTTGAGTAGTTGAGTTACTGTGACCAAATGCCCATCTTGGTAGTTAGTATTCGCCTCTGGTTGCGTTGAGTAACTGAGTTACCGTTGCTAACTACCCATCTTCCTGTTCTTTTGTTTTCTTTTTTCTTTTTCTTTGTTTCTCCTGAAGAAGCTACATATAATTGTAGCGAAACGTCGAGATGAACCCACTTTTGGGTCACTCACAAATGACACGGTCCAAACCCGGAAGACGAATAAACTATAATTCTGACTCTGGCCGTGGAAGCCTACGATTTCATTGGACTATACTTTGTTTCAACGAACACTGCTGGATCTGTAATCGATACTAGATAGCATTAAAACTTATAAAATAGTTCTATGCCTAAAGTTAGCCACTAACACCTCTATTTTTAATCTCAGATATAGGTGATATTATATTATCGCCAGATAAAATTTATAATCATATTAGTCAAATTTACGAAAAATTTAAATGATTTACACTAAAAAACTATTATATGACATATAAAAAATAACTTCAATGATCATCTCTAACTCTACTTCTCAAAATATGGCGGTACAGCAAGAAAATTTCCTTAATAACAAAGATTTATACAGAATTTAATAGGTGAAACCGTAGTTTTATACTGTATAAGTTTCATTGAACTTTACCGCCAATATTAAGGTAAATGTAAATCCGCTAGAGGCGCTAGTAGTAGGATCTATACCTCTTTGAACTTGTTTTTTCAACTATTAGACTATCATATCTGTAGTATCGATCCTTCTGCTCATTGAAATAAAGTATAGATGAATTTTACTTGTTTTCCTCAAACATTCTAGTCTAATGAAACTAAATAAATGTATAGATGGTTGATATTCGCACTGAAAGTACGTTAGGTATAGGATGATATTCACCTTGTGATTTTTGTTGTTTCCCATAAAAATGTTTATTTTTTTGTAATATTTTTGGATAACTATGGAAGATCTGTAAGATGGCTGTTCTATGTATGGTTGATGTTAGACGCTTTTTGTGATAAACAATAGGTACTAAAAATGATTGCGAAGATTATTTTCTGAGAAAATTTTCGAAAAATGTTTTTTAAGAAAAATTCTTTAAGATTGGAGTTTCGGTTTGATATTTAATCAACAGTAATACTAGTTTCATATCACTACAAAAATGATTTGAATTTGATAATTCGGAATCAATTGATGATTAATTGAAAAAATAATATGAAATATATTTTTCTACTAAAGTGATACCAGAGAAGCTATTAAACGACAACAAAAATAAGCATATTCTTCCTCCCGTCGGCCTACTTGTATGTCCGCTGTACATTATCAATAATATTTCCAGAGTTAATATCTGTAATTTTTATTAATATCACAACGTTTTGAACAATGGAAACAAAATTAAAATACTGTGAATAAGCAATTGTTTATTCCCAGTAAGCACAAGCACGTACATAAGACGTACTAAGTACGTACTGATGGGACATAAAGTATGTACAATGTACATACTTTGCTGTACGAAGTACGTACTTAATACATACATAAAACGTACATTTTCCAAATTATGGTACGTACCTAGTACGTATGGAAAATTCCGCTAGTGTCTAGAGCAGTGGTTCTCAACCTTTTTGTGGTGACGGAACACTTTTAATTACCGAAAAAAATTGCGGAACACCAAAGCAATAACATGCATATAATGATAAACAAATTAGGATTAGCACATAATTTCTGTAATAAACTTTATTATACGTACTCAAATTTGTAAAATTTTACTTAAAATATAAAAACAAAAAACATTTTTAAAATTAACAAAAGCGTAATTGTCAAAATACATCATATGAGTAAATACTTCAAATTAGTGAGACACTTGTGCCTGGTGTCGTTTGCAAATTTGCTCAATATCAGGCCTGATGTGGGAAAGAGCTACTCTCATTTCTGGTTCTAAGTTTAGCAGCCTTTCCCGTTTCTTATTTTTAATGTTTGTTAAAGATGAGAACCCAAATTCACTTAAATAGGACGTTGAAAACTGCATTAAAATACTAATCGCTTTTTTGGCAAGAAGTGGATATTCCTCTTGGACCAAGATCCAAAATTCCTGAACATTTACTTCTGAAAACCTAATTTTCAGAGTACGATCAGATGACAACGAAATAAATTCTTCTTCTTGGTTCAGAGAAAACTGGAAATTGGCTGTATTACTTGTGCTAAAAGGACTTCTTATCCAGTCATATTTTTCTACGTTCAGAGATGGAAAATACCTGGCAATTGTCTCCTCTAATAGTGATAAGTGTTCTGTAACTATATGCGTGATTTCTTGTTCTTTATCTTCATCACCTTCATTCTGAAGCAGTGGAAACATATCCATTTTATTTGTCTCTAAAATGCGCTTCTTCCAAAATGACAATTTTTTCTGTCCGTGGATGTTAAAATATTTTCATTTTTGCTGCATACTTGAGTTAACGCCATTTAAATAATTAAAAATATCGGCCAAATATGCCACTTTAGTGCATCATGCATCATTTTCAAAATATGTGGTAAATGTGTCATTACCTTCTTCTTGGAAAAAAGTTAACAGCTCCGTTCTAAGTTCATAAATTTGACATAATACTTTGCCCCTTGACAACCATCTAACTTCGGTGTGCAGCAACAAAGATTCATACTTTGATTCCATTGAGATGCAGAGTTGTTTAAAAAGACGGGTTTTTAGTGGTCTTGATTTGATGTAATTCACGACATTAACCACTTGGTCTAATACAGATTTCAAAGTAGCTGGTAGCGTTTTTGAAATTAGAGATTCTCTATGCAAGAAACAGTGCGTAGATATGATATTTTCATTTCGCTTTTTTGCAAGGGTACAAAAAACTTTTATGGAGCCTACCATGGAAGGGGCACCATCCGTACAAATTCCTACGCAAAAGTCCCATGATATATTTTTTTTCTCTAAATATGACGTTATGGAATCAAATACATCCTGACCTGTTGTACGTGCTGTAAGTTCTCTGCAGCATAAAAACTGATTGACTATTTTACCTTCGTCGACAAATCGAATAAATCCTAATAAATGAGCTTTGCCACTAATATCAGTGGATTCGTCCACCTGCAATGCGAAGTTTTTTTTGTAAAGTTTATTTGTAACTTTTTCCTCAATATCTGCAGATAAATCAACATTCCTCCTTCTTATTGTATCATCCGACATAGGAATTTTCCGTATTTCGTTTTGTGCATCGTTGCCAAACATAATTTTGACCATCTCACAACATGCTGGTAATATAAGAGATTCTGCAACAGTGTGTGGTTTCTGTTTCAAAGCAATTAATTCGGCGACCTTATATGAAGCTATTTGTGCTTTGTCGGAAATTGTTAGCGACCTTTCAAATTGTTTCGCTTGTTTAGCTTGTGTCTCCAAAAGTCGCTTGAAATAATCTTTATTTTTTGAAGCTATACTAGCGTGTTTGGTAGTAAAATGGCGTTTTAATTTAGCCGGAGCCATTGCGCTATTAACGAGTGTCTGCCCACAAATAATACACTTGGGAATTGGACAGTCTTCTTCCCCAGTCCAAATGAAGCCATAATCCAAATATTGCCGGTTCAACATTTTTTTGCTGCGCTTCGATTTGTCATCAACCCCACTTCGTAAATTTCCAGTATCTCCGCTGGTGCTCGCTTCATCATCATTAATTATGAGTTGTTCCACAGTAGTTTTTCTTTTAAGTTTGAGGAACTTATCCATTTTAATTTATTCGTCTCTAAACAAAATAATGCGGATGAATGGTTCACATTTTGTATAAAATATGCAATTACTTACCTTTGATAGATAAGCCGTACGTAAACGTTATCATAAAAAAAACTGACGTATTTTCACGTATTACGTTTGTGCAATGTAACAAATTCAACATTCAGTTGCAGACTGTGGCGTGGGTGACTCAGATTGGCTGTGGCCACTGCGGAGCTCAGCGCTTATAAAATCCAACGTGTGCACTGTGCCGACGCGGTGTTGTCACGTTGGGCAAATGAACATTTACGCTGCAGAATTTTATTAAATTAAAATGTACGTAAGTGGCTATTTTAAAATTTGAAAATATTTATTTGAAAAGAGTAATTTAGCAAAATGGTATGTAGGATTGCGAGTATTTCGCGGAACACTTGGAAGGAATTCGCGGAACACTAGTGTTCCGCGGAACACCGGTTGAGAACCACTGCTCTAGACACTAGTGAAAATTCCTAACTAAATAAATTAGGTTAGGTGAACATAACCTAACATAATAAATATGTTTTACCTCTTCTTTCTCATGGTACATACTTAAGACGTAATAATTACATACTCTTCTGTACGTACTGGTATGTACCCCAATGTACGTACTTAAAACATACATTTTACATCATGTA